TAATTTTTGGTATAGTAGTTGTGACTTATTCACACTATATACATTTGGCTTCCGCAACAAATACAACTATCACTATTAAATGCTTAGTTGATGAAACCTTTATGCATTTATCCTTAGCTAGAATATCCAAAAAAATTGCTCCATGGTCTACCATATAGTTTTAAATTCTGCAAGCAACCAGTTGATTATCAAAAATATTTACCAAGCCACAACACTACCTACAAAGGGTATAAAATAAATTACTTTATCAATTCATATTCTAATCACTGTCATTGAGCATAAAGTATCGGCGATACCTGTATCGGCCAGAGACATTGTCTCAAAAAATATCATAGTTAATTTAGAATGCTACAACACTGGGCATCCCATAGAGTTCAGCCTCTTTCATTTCCTATTCCCCTGCATATTATTCTCATTGCCATCCTCGATCCCTTTATCCGACCTTGTTCCTTCACCCACAAAAGAAATTCAAGTGAAATATTTATAAGTAGTTTATAATCCCATTCGTAAAGCCATATAATTTTGCTTGTCAATTGAAGATTAATTACTTTATTGTGTCTTGGTAATTTATTACGTTTATTGTTTCTCTAGATCATTCTGAAAAATTCAGTAAATCTTTCTCTTTTCTTTTCTATTATTTATGTGAACAAGAAACTGTAAAGTGTGACAAGAGAATGATATGAATTACCAGATCCCGGATGCAAAAAGAATGAACAAAAAACGCCAGAGTAGTATTGCACAAAAGAGAAGTATGATGTATATTCTACCAAGACTCTAACCGCCATCCTCAACAGCCACCAACGTGAATAATGCATACCCTGTATTGATTTTCGAAGCACCATTATATAATGGCGTAGAGAAACGATCAGGTACACAATTGTGATGGAATAGTTGTGACTATTAATATTGAAAATTAAAAGCACAACAACTATGTATATGCTTTAATCAGCTACAGGTGAAAACTTTTCAGTTTTAGTAACTAATAAACCGAACATACAACCAAGAAATCATGCATAATAATATGGTAACTTGATCTATGATACAAAAACGATGTAATTTAGAACTTGCAGTACAAATATATGAAAATCCCATGCTTTTTTGTAGAAAAAGACACTGACTTTCATTTTTTTCTTTTCTAATAAGATAAATAAAGATAAAGACACAAAATTTCAGTACAGTAAGTGATGAATTGAACATAACAACTACAGATCATGCAAAACACCATATTAACTTCATTTTTTACGGAAAACATTGTTACCCCAGATGTACAGTGAAGAGGAATAAAGGACAATGCAATAACATGGTTTAATACAGTTTAAAACATTTTTATTATATAATTCCCCCAAAAAAAAGAATGAAAATTTTATATAACTTGATCTGCTTGAAGATAAAGACGCAAACTTCCTAATCGGCAAAAAACGGCAATAAAACAAAAACCAAATTAAGAACCAAAAATCCAGTAATCATCAAAAGTCTAACCAGCAATCACAGACCACAATAATTTATGGACTGGTTTAAGAGAATTATCCCTAATTGAACTTACAAAAAAGTTTAGCGAGACCGACGAAAAATAGATTTGAGGTCTTTGCTTTACTTCGTCGGATAATCTTAACAAAGAGTAAAGAAACACATAAATTGCTAGAATTAGCACATGTGCACCTGCATGGATATGAAGGTCTGAACATCGTTCTTGCCTATATTTGGTACAGTTTGCAGAAGAGTTGTTTGATATCGAAATTTAGAAAAGAAAGTCAATTCGGAACATTATCATGGGGAAGAAACTTAAACGGTGCAACGCTTGGGATATTTTTTTTTTTTTTTTTTTTAAAAAAAAGGAGCGTGTATTTGTATGTATTATTAAAAATTAAAATAAATTTAATGAGACAGGGGTAATTTCGTAATTTAAGTTTCAACTTCAGAGCCTCCTCTTAATATATTGTAGATGTAGATTGTAGATAGATGTAGATAAATGTAGATTTCACGATCATTTAGGAAACCTATTCTCTCTAATGTAGTAATTAATTTAAAGTGATTACAAATGGAAATGTTTAATATTTTACAAAGAAGGGACACTCTCGGTTCCACGAGAAGTTTTATTATGTGTCTCACACAACTTACATTAGTTGTATGAGGTTAATTTTTGTCTCACAAATTTATGGACCCCATTTTACGTTTCTGGGTCCACAAAAATCCGGATTCACAAAACTGTAAGACAAAAAAAAATATCACACACAGAATAAAATTTTCCCGTTCTATTGATTCCTGGTTGGGCTGACAGTGGCGGCGCGTTGATTTATATTTAGTAATTCAGCGGCAGCGCGTGCGAAAGTATTGGTTTTTTTCTCGTTCTTTGTCGCAAGCGCAGACAAAAATGGCGCGTTTACGGTTCGAAGCGTCCATTAGTACTAAGCAACAGTCAAAGAAAGAGGACAAAGCTCGTCCGAATATAGAAAAATAAGGAGGAATTCGACTTGGTAAAATTTCGAAAGTCTTACATATTTGTAATCTTATTCTCGATTACAACTGCTGCATGCTTTTAGTAATGATTGATAATAATATTTACATATACTTTCAGTGAATAATCTGTTTTATTATTAAATGCCAAAATTTATGAGTTTTCCTTGTCACAAAGACAAAGCAAGCAGTGGCGGAGACAGGATCTCCACGAAGGGGGTTCAAAAAAATTTTTTTGTATCTAGTGGGAATTGAACTCATGACCTTATGTAGATTTTGAACCCCCTTGACCA